GCTTGCTGGCCCCCAAATTCTTAATTTATACAACCCAAGCAAAATGAGTCTCCTACTCCCTACATTTCCCTCCCAGGCCCTAGCCCCCATGTTCTTCTCGTGGTGGAAAGGCATCTTTGTCTTCTGACCCTTTCCTGCTTCCCCAGCAGCACACAACAGGCCCTGCCTGAGCTGAGTCTCCATTATGTGGTCTGTGCTAAGTGTGCTATCTCCAGTCTATCTGGCCATCTGTTTCCTGGACTCTTAAGTTCTGTGCATTTGTCCCTATATTCGGTCCTTTAGGTGCCTTGTCAGAAGGAAACTTCACAACCAGCAAGCTAGTCATGCAGGGGTGCTGAGAGAAAGTCACCTCTCAGTACTCTGCTGCTGGCACCTGGATCTCTACAGAAGCTGCCCATTTCTTCTGGTACCACAGCAGGAACTTCTGGTCTTGGTTTTCCACCACTGAGTAGTGAGAGAACACTTGCAGGTAATTTTGTCAGAACAGTCAGTGTCTCTCCTCCTCCCATAAACTATTAACACTCACTGGGTGTGCTTAGAGACTTCCCTTGTGAGTCAAAGCAAAACATTTCCCATCTCAGAACATCTTAATATTTCTCTCTGGTGTGTTTGTGTGGTGTGTGGTGTGTGTGTGAGTGATCTTAATACCTCCCATTTCCTTTTTGTTCCTACAAGTTACAGCTCACTCTCCCCTTCCTTTCCTGATTTCCATTCTCCAGCCAGGCCCCTGCCTTTGTTTGCATCTTTCTGGGGACTGACTTTAGTTCCTACATGCTTACCAAAGCACATATTTCTGTCTTTAGCCAAGCTGTACCTCTCCTCTCCCTGATCCTTCTGCCTCTCCTTCCTGACTTATGGGACTACAGGGATGCCTGATTTAATTTAGAAATTCAATGAGGCTTCTCACAAATGTCAAGCACTCTTATCCACAAATCCAGATACCAGTCAGCAAATTGCTTCTCTCTTGGGGAGGTGCAGTGAATGCTTGGTGGCGCTAATGGCGGAGCTTTCTCACCCAATCTCCACCTTTACTTTCTAGATTAGCTTGCTCTACATGCTAAGCCAAAATTATGCCAAACAGAATCCAAGAACTTGCCAGTTATTCCTGATCTCCTGGGTGGTTTCTGTGTACCTATGTGTGCTTTTGTCCAGTCAACAAAGTCATCACTCAAAAAACAAGCAAAAAGGTGTTTGTTTTTCAACGGTGAAGCTATGTGGGTCTATAAAGCCCATACTTAACACTTTGTGATCTTTCTCACCGACTGAAATTCACACGGGTTCCTCACCTCATCACAGAACACCACAGCGGAAAGGAAGTCCAGGTCCCACGTCAGCATCTTTTGTTTATGAACAAGGAAGTTGTAGGGAAGGAGATGTGACTCATTCACAGATACTCAGCAGACTGACGGCAAAGCCAGGACCAGAACCTGGAGACCAATGCTCCGCCTGGTTCCCTAGAGACCCTGACAATGATTTATCCCTTCTGGTCTTTAGAGAAAACAAACCTAAAAACATAAATACCTGGCCTATCGTGAAGGCATTCTGAGAGTAGAAATGACTGAGACATCAAAGCATCTTCCATAGGAGTTCACCTATCCAGAAAGTTGGGATGTGGGCAGATGACCCAGAGGATGGAAGGAAAGCAGCAGAGCAGGAACTGACTGTCAATGGCTAGGGAACAGCAAGGAAGATGATATCCATGCTCTTCAGAGGTATGGTGAATGATGGAGGCACAAACAGGCTTTGGCCAAGCTGTGGTCCCAGCCTCACTGGCAAGATCCCACCGATCTATCAACCCATAGGTTCACCCAAAGCTTGCTGAATCTAGGACCACACCCTTTCTCCATAGACACATTGTATTCCCTACCTCTGGGCCTTTGAATATCAATTACAATCTGCTGTATCTATGGGAAAACTCCCTAATCTTTAAACACACACACACACACACACTGCTACTTTGCAATCATCTTTCTCTTCCTCTGCATATTATGTCTCCCCATCTTGAACTTCCAGGAGAGGACGTTGTCTCTTTTTGGATTATAATTACTTGTGAACAGGGCTGACTCCTCAATCAATATCATAAACTCTTCTAGGTCTGCTCAGATTTTTTATTTAATCTTTTCTTTCATTTAACAAGTATTTACTGAGCACATTCCATAGATTAGGTGTCACAAGTTGAGCCTTAATGCCCTACAGGGACACAGGCCTGCAAAGAGGCAAATGCGTGAGAGCATGCTCACAGAGGCCAGGCTCAGAGTCTTCATCCAGTTGTGCAGGGGTTGGGGAGATAGCCAGAGAAGGCTTCCTAGGAAACTTAGCACCTATGGGAAGCCATGGAGGACAAGCAGGAGCACATGCACACATAAAAGGGCTGGGAAACTTTAGAATAAGAGCTGCCTTGTTTTCTAAAGAAACATCTCATTAGGGTGTCTTTCAAGCCCAGAGGAAAGACTTTCCTGAGAAGCAGAGGAAGCCTGCAGTGATGTCCAAGCCTTTCTGCTCCCAGGCACTTAGCACACACTGGACACAAGATATTTAGAAAAAGGAGTAAACCATCACAATCTTTTTAGACTGCATTCTCACTTAATATTCCATTTACTGATCAGATTCTCAACCAAGTCCCTCGTCCCAACAGAAGGTCAAACGGAACTTGGGGCCCACTAAGGAGAAGAGTGGCTGGCAAGTTTCTTGACACTGGAATGCATTTAACCAGACAAGTGACACAGCCTGAGGTCATGTCCTGACAGGGCCACTAGAGAACAGTTGATGAAGTAAGTCCTTCCCTTCTTTAGCTGGCCTGTCGGCCAAACAGATCTCAAGAAGAAGGAGTCTTTTATAAAGGATCCATCCCCAGAGCTGTCTTGGCTGAAGTGAGCTGCTGAGAAGGATGTGTGTATGCAGCTACCCTTCCAGATACCTCCAATTCTCAAAAGCAGCTAACCAGACCATGGCCTCTACATATCCACAGGGAAATGGCTTGTGCCAGGAGGAGGAGGAAGGGAGGGAACAGGAAGTGATACACCTGGTGTCCAGAGACTCACCAGGAAAGGAGATCCAACCCTCAACAAGCCTGGCCTTTCAATCAACACAATCTCTGGTACTGCCAGCTCCTCCTACCTTTGGTTAGGAAGCAGGAAGTGTGTACCCTGAACCTCACTGGTGCTTCCGTACTGTGCTGTGCGCACTTCCTGTACACACTGGATCCTGGAACTGGACTGAAGCGATGACTCACACCTGGCAATCAGGAGGGCTCCAGGCACCTTAGGTTGATCTGTGAACTGCTCCTTTGTCAGACATTTCAGCCTTTTCAACCGCCAACTCCACTATCTCTTCCAGTGAACTATGTTTTTCCTCCTAATCAGCTGGATACTTTTCTTTAGAGTACACTTGTCCCAGAGCCAAGCACTAGGAGACGGGCAACCATATACAGCAGTCAGAGCAGGAAAGCCTGTCTAACGGAGACTGACCATATGCCAAGTACCCTACTGATAGCCACTGTTTTTCTGATCATCACAGTGACCCTTCCAGGGAGGGGTGCACTGTTTGTTTTCACCCCTACTTTACATATAAGTAACTAGGGCCTCTGTGTGTGTGTGTGTGTGTGTGTGTGTGTGTGTGTGTGTGTGTGTGTTGAAGAAGCATGTTCAATGCTTGCTAACTTTATGTAGTCTAAGCCCAATTTCACATAAACTACCACACACTTGAATACCCTCAGTGATCTCCACACCAGACACACGGGCCTGTGGAGGTCCAGCCTGCCTCTGTGCTCCTGTTACTGGCCAGGTGACACAACTCTGTCAGCCACTATCACTGGATATGGGCTCCTCAAGCAAGGGATTTAACAACCTCTGGACCCTGTCCATAGACCAGTAACAGAGGCACCTTGAACAAATCCTCAAAAAACAGACAGAGTTACAAGGGGGAAATAAGAGAAACAGTCTGAGAGAGGAGCAGTCCACTGTGGGTACTTTATATAACAGATGACATACAACTCAGAGACGGCTTCAGGAAAAGACTTGACTCTATTGAGGTTCCCTTATGTCCCTGGCCCTAGAAGCAGTTTTAGATCACCCAAGATGGCAGGTCTATCTTCCTTCACAAAGTGCTTATGTGTGCTTAACACCTGCATACATTATTTCAAGGAATTTTCTGGACCATGCTTTGAGGGAAGTTATCTTCTTTTCAGGAAACTGAGTCTCTGAGAGGGTGAACAATTCCCATCACAAAAGTTAGATGGAGTTGGTACTCAAATTTGGTTACTACAGAAAAATTGCCTGAAGTCTTTGACTTCCTGGATACTAAATAACACAAGCAAAACTGAATAATGATCTGTCTAGTTATCTAATTAATGTCCCTTCAAAATACCCTAAGTCCACCTTGATTGACATGCTGAAATCTCTGTAGTTCACGTAGAGAGAAGAACCATAACTCAAAACCTAGGACACCTAGTTAGTGGCCTCAACCACATAAGAAGCTCCTGTATCTTGTCACCTCTGAAGACCCAAAATATTTTAGCTCATTGTGAACGTGGCCCTTTGGCCCCACACAAACACGAGACAAGACAAACACCTGACAAAACTGAGCACCATGAGTTATGGAAACAGTGCGTCTCACAAGGAAAGCACACCACATCACACGAAAGCCTGGTGTTCTCAGCTGTGTTAGTCAGAGCAGACCAAGGACACTCTCTAGGACGTGGATGGGACACAAGGAAGGCTTTCCTCCTTGAGGGCTTCTGTACCAAGGTAGCAGGTGTCAATGGAGAAATACTGTCAAATCATCTCAAGAGGCTAGAATACATTTCTTTGAACTATCCCCAGCCAACACCCTAGTCCACAACCCCTCCATTCCCTCTTGGTCATCCCTTTGCTTCCAAGGCAAGCAAACGGATCTCACAGGCACCCACTTGGCCTCAGTTAATAGACCAAGGGTAAGACATCTGGTCTGGCTCACCATGACAAGCAAGAGGCCAAGGCCCACCAGTCATGCTTCAGGCCTACCTGGCTCACACCACTCTGAGCAGCCTTCCTGTCAGCCTCGACACCTCTGTGAAGCTCTGGCGGCCCAGCCTCCCATGCTGGGAAAGGGCTACCCAGAGGCTTCCAAGACTGGCTGTCCTCAGGAGTGTGGAACTCTGAGAGTCTCTGCTCAGAACTCAGGCACCTGACCACGTCTGAAGGCTTCAAGCAGCTCTTCTTAGAGATCTTGGGTCCACCAGGGTATCTCTCACCTGCCTCGCTCTCTGCTTTCCTGTCATATGGTCCATCTTCTCGCCAGGGCTGTCTCTTGCTCTGGCTGCTAAAGGCGTCACTAAGCTCTGAGATGACCCTATCAGAGTTCCCAAGTGGTGGCTGGGAGAAGCCATCTTGGCGAATGTGAATGCCACCATCTCCATTGACGTGAAGAGGAGCCTGGGCACTGGGTGTCAGTGAGTAGGCTTTGTGGGGTGGAGGCAGGGCCATCGGGGAGACCACTGAGCGCAGAGTGGCGTGATCTGACCAACTTGAATAGGGGAGGCTGAGTGGCAAAGAGGGACGGGCCCTCGCTGACAAGGCCAAGTGGTCCATGTCATAGATAGAAGCCTCAGGCAGAGGAGGCAAGGGTGGTGTCATGGCCAGAGAACGCCTGCCTGGGACCCCGACAGTCAGAGAGATCCACTCGGAGGTGATGGCGTGCATCTCAGGGGACAGGGCTCGGCGGGGGTGGGGTAGAGATGAAGGGGCTGGCATGATGAGCTTGCTGTGACTAGTACACTTAAAAAAAAAAGAAAAAGAGAGAGGAGAAAACAAAAGAAAGAAGCAGAGATAAAAGTGTCAGCATAAAGGAAAGGAGGAAAACCACCACAGGGGCATAAGGAAGAATGAAACAGAGAGGATGAACAGGACACCCTGGTGTCCAGAACAGAAATCATCTGGTGAGGCTGGGTGGATTCAGGAGTGTGTGCAGGCAGGTGGAGAGAGGAGAAGCGTGGAGATGAGAAAGGCTCCCATCAGACAGTTGTGGGTAGCGCTGGGCTCACATTTCAAAGGGAAAGCCAGGAAGTGCCCCACCCCAGCCAACTAAACCATTCTTGCAACCACAACCCTGACCCAAAACTGTAGGGTTGGTTAGGTGGACAGTCTCTGTCCAGGCCTTTCCTTCAGCTCTGCTGAGTCTTCCATACAGAAGCATGGAGTGCGTGCTCACTTTGTTTTGCTATCACTCTTGGTTGATGCCCAGTTCAGTCCCACAGCCTCTCAAGTGAGATGGCTGTTCACAAAAGCCCATTTAATGCTCTATGCCAAGTGCTCGCTGCTGTGTTGGTGGCCACCATGGGGAGGGGAAAAATGATAGAGGACGGGAGAAAGGAGGTACCACATCAGCACCACCAAGTTCCAGTGTTTCAGCCATCATCCCCATTTCATTTCACAGGATGCCACCCTACCTGATTTTGCTTATTGGCTTTGGGAAAGCAGGCACCATTTGGAATAACATCTTAAACAATTATGCTCATAATTAAACTTGAGAAAAGCAACCATGTGACTGTGCCTATAAACTACTCCCTTTTGACCCAGTAGAGACTGACACACGCTAAATTTCTTTTCCAGCGTTGAGTCCAGTGAAGGCTTGCAGAAGCACTTTGAATCTAGTATACATGTCTAAGGATGAGAACATGAAATTATCTTCCAACCACTGTCCTCTGGAAAGCAATCTTGATGGACAGTATTGCACAGAGAAGCATGCTGGGCCACAGGGGCGTACACTGGCAGCTTCACAGGGATGCACCGACTGACAATTTGCTTGTTTTTCTTCCCTTTCACTTTATCCCTACAGCAATTATCTTAAACTCTTACCTTTCCCTCCAATGTTTTAGAGTACTAGGAAAATACCATGGACAGGTATGAAAACAACCCCCAACCCACCCTGCTCTAGGTAGCTCTTAGTCAGAGCATCAGAGAGACATCGACACAGCTGAGGATAAAAACTTCAAGCTGAGTTTGAAAGCTTAGATACCTGTGGGCTCACAGTGGCACTGCGACTTGGAGAAGAAGAATAAGGCAGGTCGATGTAATCCACAGGGGTTTTCACCAACGGCCTCTTAAGCACATCTACATAGGTGATAGGGAAAATGCCTTGGCGGGATGTCCCAGGAATCCTCCCTTCGTACCAGTTCTCATCCACCTGTCGGAGCAGTGTGATCCTCTCCCCCTGTAAGACACGGCCAAGCAAGAGGTCTTAAAGCACCACACTGTGGCCTATTGGAGGTCCCTACCTGTATCCTGCACTGTCCTGTATCCTTCACCACATTCTATGCTCAGGAAATTCATGTCTATTGGCCTTGGATGGAGTACTAGGTTGGGGATGCTAACACAGTAGAGCTTCCTTAACCAAGGAGTTAAGCATTTCAGTATAAGACCTCAGATTCATGCCCTGGAGACGGATAGCAACTGTAGTGTCTAAGACTCCTTTAAAACAAAGTGCTCACATAATCCAGCCTTCATCTGCAAGGCAAAGGCCCTGGAGGGTTGTTCTTTTAGTCTTATATTATTTTAAACTAATTATATTTGTATGAAAAACTTTCTTCTGCATGTAATTAAGTGTACCATGAGCTTGCCTGGTGCCTGTGGAGGTCAGAAGAGGGTATCTGGAGCTAGAGATACGGATGGTTGTGAACCACCATGTGGGTGCTGAGAATAGAACCCGTGTCCTTTGCAAGAACCTCAAGTGCTCTTAACCCTTGAGCCACCTCTACAGCCTTTGACTCTTTTGAGACAGGGCCCACACTCACTTATGTAGCTCAGGCTGGCCTTCATCTCATAACAGTCTTCTTAACACAACCTTCTGTGTGCTAGGATTACAGGTGTGAGCCATCGCACCCAACTCGGAAGGTTATCTTTCTCATATAAAATTATATATATATATATATGTATATGTATATGTATATGTATATGTATATGTATATGTATATGTGTATATGTGTATATGTGTATATGTGTATATGTGTATATGTATATGTATATCTGTGTATATATTATTTATTATGTAATAATAAATTATATAATATATAATTTTGTATGTATGGTTGAGAGTGCTAGCGGCATAACATGTAGGTTGAAGTCAGAGACAACTTGCTGGAGTCAGGTTTCCAATCTTGGCAGCTAGCATCTTTACCCATCTCACCCAACCCTCAGAAGGTTCTCTATATTCTTTTCAATACTTTATTTTTATGTCACAGAAAAGTCACAATAAAGATTAAACCCAAAGCCCAAAGCAATCGCCCCCTACCATGCTATCTCTGGGGATTACCACTGTTAATACATAGGTGCTTTCCAGGTAAGACTTGCCCTGTTTTCCTCTATGGAAATTGAGTATGTTCTGTATTTTGATTTTTATGCATGGGTTGCTCCCAAATTGACTTTGTTATTCCTAACGTGTTTATGGTGGGTACGAGGGGACACATGTGTAATAGTACCTGTGTAGTGGTCACAGGACGCATCTGCACTTGCATGACTTCTGGAGATTTAACTCATGTCTTAAAGTTTGTATGGTGAATACTTTATCAGGTGGGTCACTGCACTCTCACCTATATACTTCTTCATACTTAATGATATAGAGTGAAGCACTTTTATCAAGGAAAACACATGCACGCACGCATGCACGCATGCACGCACATGCGTGCACACACACACATACACGCACGCACGATCTTGCTTCATAGCCGGAATACCCATGAAATCATTACATCCCCCTGCCTCTGCCTCCCAGCATGTGGATTACAGGTATATTGGAACAAGGTCTCTCATAATTCTCCATTTATGCAGATGTTATAAAAACTTAACTGACCACTCTTGGTCATCTCTTTCCACATATGTTACAATTTAATCATGAATTCACTGACAAGGCACAATTAGGAACCATCTGGTTTCTTCTTTGTATAAGGTTGCTTATCTATTTCCAAGGTACTAGTTAATTTCTCTTGATCCTCAATAAAACTAGTGATTGTTATAATTTCAGTAAGCTGGGGAATTACGACACTCAGAGAATGTCTAAGAAGCTGGCCCTTCCCCTCCGCCTCATCCCACCACCCACAGGGTCACTGCGGTCACATGGAGTGTACTGAGCTCTGCCACAAGAACTGCTCCCAGCTGTGGACTGAATGCTGGCCTGGCCCAAGCCACACTGCTTCATTCAGGTTTCTCAGAATGCCCAAAGAGGCCTTCTCTCTCCATGTTTTTTCATGAGGCAGTGGAGGCTCAGATCAAGTATTCACCTCCACACAAACTGTGATTCTGGTAACCTGACTTTTGGTTTCAAAGCCTTTAAAATTCCTCCTGGTACCAATGGTTTTGTTTCCCCACTTGGTTTATGGAGACATTATAAATCAATGTCATCAGCACAATGCTTATCATTAAATGTTGGTTGAATACAGTTAATATATGATGTCTAAGATGCCACAAATACTGGCTTTAATTGGTAAATTCAATGTGGCTAAACCGAGTTGTGTAAATAATTAAAAAGAAATCTTGGGAGATGGATAAATAGCTCAGCAGTTAAGAGCACTATCTGCTCTCCCAGAGGACCTGGGGTTTTGTTTTTCAGAACCCATGTGGTGGCTCTCAACCATATGTTACTCCAGTTCTGGAGAATCTAACAGCTTCTTCTGGCCTTCACAGAAGGTGCTACACATGCAGGCAAAACACTCACACACAAAAAATAAAAATAAATAAAGTCTCATCTCAGAAAAGCCTCTGGTTCCCCCTTATTTCAATTTTTGACCCATCTACTATGTTCTTGAGGTTACAGATTGACAGCCATAGCAACATCGCATCTCTGAGACAACGGCATCAATCAAAGTCCCCAAAGTCAGGATGAGGTGTGTGGCTTACCTTTCGGAAAGACATTTCTACTTGTGTATCACCATTGAAGTTAAACTTCGCAATGGCTTCTCCATATTCCAAAACCTGCATGGGCGCCAACTTTCTGGGCTGAGCCTTCTCAGCTGGAGGAAGAAGCTGAGAAAGGAAAGAAAGCAAAGGGGCAAGGGGAGGAAGAGAAGAGAACACAGGACATGGTAAGAAAATGGCGTTTTAGGCATGCTGAGCTTCTCTTGAGAAGGATGGAGCTTCGGCTGTGGTACCTCAATATAGGTGCGTGGGAAGATTCCCACCCGGCCATGGTGTTCACCTTCATACCAGTTCTGATCAATCTGTTTGTAGATGTAAACAATGTCTCCCTTCTGCAGAGGCAGCTCCCTGTTGACGGAAGGTCATTATCTTTTAGTAGATGTTTAAAAACTGCACGGCGGAGATACTTCAGTGCAAGACTTTACACGCAGTCAAAGGGGACAAAGTTTCAGAAGATAGGAGGCTCCATTCTTGGAAGCAAGAACCCTAACTGTCAGGAAATTATATCATATTGGGTAGTTTTCTAGTCTTTCATGGGATGGGTGTCAACACACACACTTACTAGCACTAGAGTGCTCAGAGGCCATAATAATTTGTTGTGATTTTCTTAATGCATTTGAGGGGGGGGGATTCTGTATTAGAGACGCACCAGGGTAGAGCGCGGCAGCCTTAATTTATGGTTATTAAATGGTAACATGTCTCCCTTTGGATGCTTTCACTGCTCCTTGTGTGCTACAGCTAGACATGCCTGAACCACTTCAGGTTATGACATCCTGGTACCCCTACCTATCCCCCTCCTTCACCATCTGTCTCCATCAGCCTGTACTAGGAAGCTTTGAAGTTAGGCAGACTGAGTTCAAGCCAAATGCAAAGATTTACTAGTTCTGGGACTTGGTCAGGAAGCTTGAGCTCTTGGTGACAATGTTCCTTTATCTGACCAATCCAAGGCTGGCGAATGCAGCTGCAAGCTGCAGGAGAAACACCCAGTATAGCGCATGCTCTGGAGTCATGCCTTCCTTCTCAGTACGGAAAAGAAGAGTTAGAAAGAAAAAGGGATGCCCTTTCAAATGTTCTTTGTGCCTTTCCTCCCCACCTCCCAACTCTTTCTTCCACAGCCATCTCTTTGCCTCAGCTCTGACAGCACTCACATCTAACCAGGACTCTGTTTTCAGGAGAAAAAATAATAAATTATAAACAAAATGAAAACAGAACAAAATAAATAAAATAAAATAATAACCTGAACTTTTCTTGAATTAAAAAATTAAATATATATATATTTTTAATTTCTGCTCCAACCCAACATCATTTGGAAGGGGTGTGGCAGCTTTGCAGTATACCAGGAAGCCCCACATGAGGAATGCTGGCTAAGTAACAGGGCACAGCTGGAACCTTTATAAAATGTTGGCTCTGAGCTGGATAAAAAAGCATCCTGAAGAGGTCTGTGTGGATCCTATGTTGGGAGCTGGAGTGTAAAATTAAGTGCATAAAGAGGGCACAGGATGTTCATCTTTGTGGAATGGAAAAACCTCTGGCTATTCCTTTCTAAACCCCTCTCCTTCACATGTTCTGAATCCCCCTATGGGTGTCATACAGTGTGCTGGCATATGGGACCTGAAACCGTCCCACTGTTAAGCAGAAAGTCACTACATGGACATTCTGAGGCTGATGTCCTTCCTCAGGTACCTTGGTACCAGAAGCTTGGCTTTTAGGCACTCTGGTTCCTGACCTCTTTCTATATAAAGTCCCTGTTTACTTAATTAGGCAGCGGCTTGGTCTGACCCGCCCCTTCAGTAGAGAAAACCAGGGAACCAGTCTCCAGTGCAGTCAGTGCTTCAGGCCACTCTCTCAGCTCCCACAAGATCCACATACCTACGTGGCATGTTAGGGGACTGGGAATTAACAGTACAAGGTACTTTCAGATTTGTACAACCTTTTATTGTTGCAACGCAACATGGTCATCTGCCAACGTCAGGCTCCAGAGCCATACATCAAGCCCCTGACCCTATCACACAACAGTCTCTAATGACTTAAGCTCATGAATAGGACACATTCATAACGATCTATCCTTACCAACCATGGGACACAGATTTATTAAGCAGGCGGCACGCCATGATGGGAACATAAGGCAGGCCCTGCTCTCTGGCATTAGCAGTATTGATAAATGATGGCAGTCCTATGGACCTCTCACTTTCTTACCTCTTCTATCTGATTAGTTACTCGAAGGAGTTAAAAAACCCTTTAAAATGAATTCTAAAAAGATGTATCACCCAAAGTCTCAATTTAGGGGAAAATATTCTCTTTGATTAAAGTACAAGTTAATTCATATGTCTTTGTTATTCTCTCTCTGGATCAAGTATAAGGATGGTAGATATCATACTTATGGACTTCTGCTACACTGTGCAGTTTTAGTCTCATCTTACCAGTGAGGAAAACTGAGGGTGAGAGACATTGATACACTGGCCATAGTTACAGAGATATGAGTCTCAGAGTCACAACTTTCTAAATCTAAAGTCCACACACCCATCTCTTGTAGCGTGCTAAGGGAATGGCGAAATACAGTCAAATCCAACCACACTGGATTTATGTCTGTGTTCTACAAATTTGGTCTGGCCATTCCTTTTGTGTTGGAAGAAATGGGAAACATGGGGGAGGAGTTAGAGGCATTATTTCCCATCACTCATGAATGGAAGCACTCCTCTTATTCCTAGATGTGGTGTCTCCTGTCAGCAGGACAATGGGATGTGGCTGCCCGTGTTATCTTTGGCTTCCAAAAGAAAACTCATGGTCTGTTTTAATCCATAATTAGCTATAAAGCTATCAAGTCCTTCTGGAACCTGTGTGTGGAAATATTTCCCAAACTGTATTCCACAGAAAATAGAAAGGTTTCCTGGTCACCTAAATTTGGGCTAAATAAGCAGCTCAGTTTTTGTCTCTGAGTTCCATAGCCGTGAACATGCCAACTCCCAGGGAGAGCGGGGCCTAAATATACCAAATATACCACGAGCTGGATCTCTGACTCATTTCTAGAACACTCATTCTTTGGTTTTGTTTTTTAAGAACATCTTGCAGGAGGAACACTCTGAGGAACACACTTAGAGAAATGTCAGTATCTCGCGGGCGTCCTTCCGCCTTTGGGAATGCTATAAAAAATAGGTCAAGTTATATTCCTAGAGTCTGGTTCTGATTCCTTCTACTAAAGGTTAGGTCAAATTATGTAGCACCCTAATCAAGTAAACCGAGAACCTGTTCAGGGTGAAAGTGGGTGGGACAGTGCCTAAGAGTCAGCTTCAGAAGCCGAGGTGCTGGGTTCGAATCCTGACTCTATCACCTCTCAGGTGATCTAAGTTCTTTCATACTGTTTTTCTAAGTTTTGGACGTGGAAATAGTAGTATCTGCTCCACACAGTCCAGATTCATCAGAGTTGAATGAGCTAATACATGTGACGTATCAGTGCTGGCATGAATCATCTACTGTTTATTATCTGTTTTTCTATCTTTGTGAGCAACAGTTGTCTATCCCAACTCTTCCCCCTAAGCAAACAGTATATCCAAAGAGACAGCTAAGAAGGCAAATGTGAAGCACTTACTTCAGTGTCTGAGCTTTAAAGTCAAATTTGGCTCGGGCAGGTCTCATCTAAACACAAGAAATAACGCAGAGTTAAAACTCATGATTGACAAACAATGAAAGGGACACATTTTCCACAAGAATCTAGAAAGCGAAGCAGAGAGATCCACTCTAACCAGTTCATCTTGGTTTAAAAATCCGGGCAAGACTGCAGCACCTGACCCCATCAGCATGATAGATGGTGTTTAGTCAGCTGTGCCATGCATGAAAATTCCCCCGCAAGAAGGCCATTTGTAGGTTAAGAGATGGTTTGAAAAGCCCCTCAGGCAAGCTGATCATGGCTACTGTCTTCAGACAAGTCTTACCTATCATCTTACTCCTTGTGGGGCATCTCCTGTTTACCTGGTATAAGTTAGAAACTGAAAGCACAACAGAGTCTGGTTCACCTATCATATCATCTTGCATCCTCTATGTCCCTACAGTCTGTGACATTATTGAAAAAGCTAGGGTAAACCCTGAGTATATCTCTACCTACTGAAACTCCATCCTGGCTGTCGAAGCTCCTTTCCCCTACACACCCCAGGCTGGGAAGCCAGGCCTAGCCGTCTCCACATTCTCATTAAGTCTGTCAGTCCAAAGCCCCGTTGCTCTGGGGCTGACCTCTGCTTCCCACAGACACAAAGCTTCCTTTGACTTCACCTTCTCCTCAGTCTAATCTACTGTCACCCAGGAGCACAAATAACATTCCACAAATTCTTCCACACTTCACGGTTTTGCTTTGATGTTGGCTTCAGCTCTCAATTGTCTAGTAAATCAAATCTCTCTCCCTAACCTGGGTGGAGGCTTGTGGTCATACCCCAGGCACACCTACACGTCTGTCTCTGGCACCTCTCCTGTCCCAACTAAGTACATTTATGTGCCAATCTCAGCCTGGAATTTGTTCAGCTCCAACTCTGGCAAGAACTTCACCTTTATCAACTTACATTGAATCTCTTTCTTCTTTAAAAGTAGTTATTTTAACCAGTTTGGTTTTTAGAGGGACACATGAAATTTTTCTAATCACATGCACAAGCTATTTCTATCCGAATACCTCTGACCTCTTCAGCTGCTATGGCCTCTGCCTAGGGAAACAGCATGAAGGAAATGAATGGTAGGTCCTCTATGAGAGCAGAAGACAGGAGCAGAGCAGGAGGGGAAAATGGAGGCAAGGTGAGAAAAGGCTCCCAAAAACACCATCGCATTATTCTAGCTGTTTAGTCAGATGCCCTCCATTTCCACGCTTCTCAGCTTGGGCTTCACGGGGGGGGGGGTCTTCTAGGGTTCATACTGCACCACAGAAATGTTTGTGTTTTGTTCTGTTTTAAGTTTCTGTTTTCACTGCATCCCAGGATGGTCTTGAGCTTTGGATCCTCCTCCCAAGCTTCCAGATCATAGGCGTGTGCTTAGACTGGCTCTTCCTACAAACTTTGTATCCTGCATTTCCCTGCTGCCGTTCCCATCTATCTATATACGTACAGGTTAGGGGGGCAACTCAATAACCACCTTACAATTGAGTTAATATCACGCCATCCTAACACCTATGTTTATGGCATACTTTCTAACGGTTGTAGGCAAACAGGGGCAGAACAGATGTGAGAGTAAGGATCAATAACAACATTCACAATAGAAAACCCAAAGGCCAACACTGTAAGAAAAAAACCTCATAGAAATCACAACAGAAAAAAGTGTGGGGAGAGATATAGATTACATGTCACCCAGGTATATGGCTGTGAGAACATTATAAAATTTATGCCATAGCAGCAAACGTTCCTTCTTTGAATAGCTTTGACTTTCTGATCCTCCTAACTCTAGATCCCAGGCACTGTACACCTCACCTGGCTGACATATAACTGTGTATGAAGGTGGTTTTATACTAACAGCTACCCCAAAAAACACAAACTGAATTGTCTCTGCTCTACACAGGGAGAGTACTACACAGAATGAGTGGCTGCTGACTCCTAATGAGAACGAAATGGATCCACACACCACAGTGTACCCATACTTGCTGGACTCACTGTCCCAGTTCTGTCAGTCAGCTAAAGGACAGTGGTTCTTTACGTGGGCCTGAAAACATCAAAGCATCAAACTCATGAACCTGCAAATTCTTAGACCTCACCCCAGGTCTAACATCGCTGGTGGGATGCAGGAGTCTGCATTTTGATATGTCTTTAGAGGTTCTGACATAACTTGGGAAACACCATTCCAGAGGAAAGGCAGGTCTGGTAAGAGAGAGTGCCTCCCTTGCCACAGCTACTCCTGCTGAGCAGCACGGACAGGCCCATGTATCCCTAAAGCAGTTCTTCAGGCTGCCACCTTCTTCCTCACACAGGTAGACCTTTGAATGGGGTTAATGAGCACCAGAGTCTTTGGAGCAGGACTGTTATGTGAAGGAGCCCTCTGTACACCAAGAAGCTGCCTGTCACTCACAGTGGGCTAACACTTGCTACCTTTGGTTTCTATCTGGTCACAGTTCCATTTTTTTCTCTATATTTCAGAATCTGCCCTCCCCCAACCCTAGTTTCCTTCTTTAGGTCAAATTCTTTTTTTTTTTCCTTTAATACTTCTTCCCAGGAACCTTTCATTCCTTTAAAAAATAAAAATAAAAAAGGTAATGATGCCTCCATCACTTGAAAGACAGAAAGTTGGTTATACTACCAGGTCATAAAACTAGTTCCTGGGGTCACTTCCTCCAGCTCAAAAAGTCCAGCTCATGATGCCACAGACACAGACACATCCCTGAGAAGACATTGGCTCAGCGGGGCTTCGTAAGGTCATGTGGTAGGCTATAAACTCTCACTGAGAGCTGGCCCTGGATCTACCATACTGACATATTTGTGGGAGGCAAGACCTGGATAAACCCACTACACTCTTGCCCTTCATTCCTGTTGGAATATCAAACTTTTGTAGTCTAAGCTTAGAAATGTCAAAGTTGAGGGAGCAGATGAGGTTTCTCTCAGAATGCTCTTATACTCTCCATGAGTTTACCCAAGCTGCAGAGGTCAGAGTTTGAAACTTCAGTGAAATGCTCCAGCACCACTGAGCAATCAGTACTGTTCTCTGAGTTTTCAACAGCAGTACCACTAAGTTAATGCTATAAAATGTAACTTTAATAACGAAAGCTTCATTAACCATCTCTTTACAGAAGACTCTTGGGGTTGTCCATACCAGAGCTTCTGAGACACATGGCCAAAGGGACCCGGTTTCTAAGCAGACCACAATGCAACATGGTATCACAGTCAAATGCAGGATGGAAAGGACTGGACTCATGAGGCAGCCAATGCTCTAAGCATGCAGTATGAGTGTGCGCCAGCAGACCCCAGTTCCACAGCCAGGCATGCTTAACATATAGAGCACAGGACACAGTGGGGCTCATGTCTATTACCAGCCACAAAAGAGATAAAGCAAGGCTAAGAAAGCCAGGATGACAGGCGCTGTTTGGAGAACTAAATTGGCCTACAGAGGGCAATGCCAAAGGAAGGCAAATATTGCTTCGGGTCAAGCAGCAGTTGGCGGCGACCAAAACAGACCTCTAACCCAGATTTCCTTTTTGCAGTATCATCTATATTGAGGAGGTCCCCAAAGCGCTCATTAGTGATAAACTGATGATGAGTCGGGATGACACCTGTGTGGCGGCGAGCTGCAATATCGGCTTCTTCTTGCTCGCGCTTAAGTCGTCTCTGGTCCGCTAAAAGTTTCTGCCATGAAATTGCATAAAACGGGCAGTGAATCATCTGGTCCAGCTTAATGGAAAATGGCCATATAAGCAACTAAGGAAGAAGGCATCGGTGAACAAGGAGGAGGCATTAAAGGTCACTGTCAAAGGGAATTACAGACACAGCTTCTATGTTCCCATGGTAACCATCCACTATGCACTTTGTAGGAAGGACAGAGCACTGTCCAGAAGAAAATGGGGACACAGGAATATGGGACATGTGATTCTACATGACCTGTCTGTCTGACTACCCTGGGACTCAGTTCAAAGCCCGAGTCTTCTGACAACAAAGGCCAGCTGACCCAAGGGTACAGCCTAGACATCGTAATCGTGTTTGGTTGGTAGCTGGCATCCCTACCTGGCTTTAGGATTCATAACGTGTTTCCAAGACAGGATGGGACATGCGGTTTTCCCCTGACTACACCAGGCCTCTCAGACTATGGGTCTTGACTCTCTAGAAATGAGGTCATGTTTTTGCTTCTTTTTTGGTAACACTGCCATGTTCTCCACATAGCTGAGCTGCCCCTTTCAGGGAATGTGGCGCCTCTCCCCCAGGACAGCCAACTCTTCCCCTGGGCCTAAGTTTCAAGAGGCCTCAGGATAGACAGCAAAGGTTCTTCATGTGCCTGACAGCAGGTCTTGTTTCTGTCCCACTGACTTGTTTCTACTTAGGGAAATGAAGCTGAGTTTCAGGGAATGATGCAGAATACAGTAGAGAAAATAACAGCATCTGGGGTTAGAAGAAACACATACCCCATTAAGAAAATTAAAGGGTTGGTAGAGAGAGTTGGGGGAGAAGTATGGGACAAGTTAGAAAAAAGGAAGTGGGGGACTTGGTCCAAACACATTGTATACTTGTATGAAATTCTCAAACAATAAGTAAGAAATATGTTTTAAAAAGAAAGTAACCATCAATTTCTATTCAAGACTTTTTCTATTAGTCTGTATTGCTTTTCACCAAATACCATTCATTCATGGCCTCTTCCAATGGCCCAATAGAAAAGAATTTTAATGCACTTCCTTATTTCACTGCAATTTTCATTCTTGGGATTAATACTCCTTGTGGGGAAGCATTTATTCTTAACATTCTCAGTTAGACGTAAGTCTTCTTCCAGCAGACAATTAAATGACTCAAGTGACATTCCGCTCTAAAGGATAACGGCCCAGCTTTCCTCTAGGGTCTACAAAACAACAATTCAACAAATGGCTATGGGTCTTCCAGCACTCAGAAAACTGTAATAAAGAGTAAGCAAGATGAAAGTGCTTTGCAAAGCACAGTGCCATAGAAAAAGTGCTGTTCTGGGAAGGTGGAGCCTTAGTTTCTAGCCAAACACTTTTGGGTGGTGTCCGTGTTCGAGCTATACCCTTGTTGAATAAAACAGGGGGTTGGTTTGGTGACCACAAAAGGCCCTTCAAGGACAGATGGGGTCTCCTTTTCTGAAAGGCCGTTATCATCAGCGTCAACAGTAATGGACTGACATAAAAGGGTGCAGACCAACACTCCCTCCTGTACTGTTTCTACAACAGTGGGGATGGGCTCATGATTGAGTCCCTGTTCAAAAGCACTGCTGCTCTGGCTGACAGTTCATTATCCATGGAACAGATATCAAATGGAAAGGGCTTAAACCTGGCACTTAAACCTGAGTCAGTGAGTCCACCAGGTCTGTGCTTAGCCACATGAGCTGGTATCCATGACGAAAGAGAAACCATTTATTTCAGGCTCTCAACATCACCAAGGATGCAAGATTCTCTCGTTAAGTATAGAGCTTTCAATGGATTCACTGCTAAACCACATTAGTAAAACATTCTCTTAGTAAGACTCACCCACCAAAGCCTCCCTACTGAATACTAGCATTTCATTACTAAAACGGAATTTTCTCTTTCCTCTCATGGCATGTGAACTTGGTCTCTCTGACAGAATGCATATAGAAAAGTCTGGAAGGAAATCCTGAGAGACACTCATCACTTTGAGAGTTTTGGATTTGATAATTTAAACAATTCTGGACCTCAAATACCTCTCCTGGCTTCTGGTAGGCAGACACCATGCCTGGAGGGCAAGGAGAGGCATGTTTGTTTTCTACCCTCCAACTGCAATGATTATAATTATAGAGTCCTCAAAGTCAGCCTTGCCTTAAATCCTTAAGGAAACTCCACCTAAACTCTGGAACCAATGAAGCCAGAGCAACACAGAAGAGGACGTGTGATATTTGAACATCCTCTTCCATGGCTAGCAGTTCAAATTATCCTTGCATCTCTTAACAAATGACAGGAAAGCGGGACACTGAACTTATCTAATCTATAGGACCCCCTTTCCTGGGCATGTGCATCTAGAACTTGTGCACTGTAATGCTCTATCACAGCAGAAGGGACAATTCCGCCCACTTAGCCAATATACAGGACAGCCTTTTCCTATTCCAGAACAGGCTCTATTCCAGGCCCTTACAATCAACCCACAGAGAGACATTTCAGTAGCTCCAAGAAAACGCCCGGCTCTGAAGTCCTTGTGTGGAGTCTGCCAGCACTAACGTGGGCATCTCCAGGCTCTAAAGTCCTTATGTGGAGTGTGCCAGCACTAATGTGGGCATCTCCAGGCTCTGTCCTTGTGTGGAGTGTGCCAGCACTAATGTGGGCATCTCCAGGATCTGAAGTCCTTGTGTGGAGTCTGCCAGCACTAATGTGGGCATCTCCAGGCTCTGAAGTCCTTGTGTGGAGTCTGCCAGCACTAA